TGCATGAGTTCCTTGTTTTTCAATGCAGCATACTATTCCATTGTGTGAATATACCATAGCTTCTCTATCCATTCATTTGTTGATGAGTTGGCTTTATTTTTGTATTCTTTAGATTCTTCTTCCTATGCTTGAACTTGTATAGTGGGCATGTTTTATTTTTTTAGTCTTTCACACTTTTTTTGAGGAGAATTTGATTTCATGAGACACTTGACATGTATATCATAACCTCTTATTAGATAGCCCATGTACAAGGTAAAACTGCTTCAGAGGACACATGACAATATTGAGGTATGTAAACATTATGCTCTTACAGTTGTTTCATGTTTTGTTTTGTCTCTTGTTTGTGTTGTCAGTAAGGAAGAACTTCCTGGCTTATTCTCTCTTGTAGATGGCAACATAATTTATAATTAACAAACTCTTTTCTATGTGTGGTATTTTAAAACTTCTTTTGGGTAGACCCCTGCATAATACCATCTTAGTTGTAAGCTAATGACTTTTTTTCCCTTTCTGGTTGTACAACAGTATGATAAACTCAGTGACAAAAACTATTTTTAATTCAATATTTGCTTTTGATCTTGGTCTTTAGGATTGTAGATGATGAGTGAAATTTCTGATTGATTGATTGATTGATTGATTGATTGACTTGCTTCTAGATTTCATTAGAGATTTTGATGAGAGAAATTTTCAATGATGCTAGTCTTGAATCAGGACCTATCTAGTTTACTAAGAGTAATTCTTTCTCATTCAAATAATTCACAGATACCTGAAATGTACTGGGTGCTGAGAAGCAGAAATGCTTAGCGGGGAGTATATGGGGCATAAAACTTATTGAAAAGAATTGGACCTTTCCAATTTTTTTGGGAGGCTGGAGACCTGGCTCAAAACTAATTTCAGGATGAAGCCTAGCTCAAAGTTAATTCCATGAACTTTGAAGCCTCAAAACCTTATTGTGATAAACCACTGCCATTCCTGCTGTCTCACAGAGCACTGGAGGAAAGCCCAGCCTTCCTTGTAGCTAAGCAGGCTCCATAAAGAACCTCCTTTCCAGGTTCCTGACTCCTGACTCAAAGTTTGGTGCAGTATCTCTGATTAGAGGAGCCTAGCCTTGTCTAAGGGAGCTCTAGTAGCTTAGTAGGTAAAGACTGTCAACCCCAAAGGTACATGGTTCAAATCCACAAGCTGCTCCATAGGGAAAAGATGAGCAGTCTGTACTCATGAACCTCACAACCCCTGAAAACTTAGTGGAGGTCAGCTGTGATTTCGTTTCAGTTGGTAGCCAAGTTTATAGGGAGTTACAAAGCTACTCCAAAGGTGAAGTCTCTGATGGTTTGAATCAACTAGCAGCCCAGAGGGAGAAAGGTGAGCAGTCTCCTTCCATGCAATTTACAGCTTCCTGAACACCCATTCGAGGGTCAGCTGTGAATCAGTTCTGGCTCCACAGCAATGGAGGAGGTCTATGGCAGGTGCAAAGGAAGTTGGGAACTTAGGAAGAAAAACAGCTATTTTAAGAACTCTCTCAAATATAGCAAGATATTCAGAAGGATTGGCATTTAGAAAGTACTTTGGGTATCTCACTAATTGTCATGAGGTACCCTTCTGTCAGCTCTGACTCATAGTGACCCTTTGTACAACAAAATGAAATTTGACATGTAAATTAGTAGTATAAGTCAGTTTTTAAATGTCTCTTCTAATCTACTGACATTTAAAAACATGTATCCTTTGAGTAGTTTTGTCACTTCCAGGAATATTTTTGGCAGATTTATATCTGGTGAAGGTACCTATATACAGAGAAGGATAGTAATGGAGACCTCAGTTGTAATAGAAATGAAAAATAATACAGATCAATTAAGAGTCTGTTTAAATAATGATAATGTATCTGTGTGGGTGAGTATCATGAAGCAATTGTTTGTGATTTGACAAGATCTCTAAGGTAATTTTTTCCCAGAAATTTAGAAGAGAAGCAAATTAGTAGGCATAGTAGCCCCCATTTGTGGGGGGAGGGGGGAACTGTAACATTTATGCTGGTCTGAAGATGAATACTCCCACAGTGCCTCTGGAGGGATACCTCAGATACTGAAACAGGTGATTCAGTAGCAGAGAATCAAAAAATGGTGGTAACAGCAAGGGTGGACCTTTGTACTTTTTCAGTTCTGTATCTTGAGTACGTTTTAAAAGTTACAAGTGCAGACTTTTAAAAAGTGGAGATAAGCATTTTAGTAAGTATACTTTAACTTTGAAAATATCCTTCATTCTTCATAACAGCGTATTTTTGTTTGTTTGGTTTGGTTTGGTTTAAATCCCTCTTCATTTAAAAAAAAAAAGTATTAGTTCAGTCATGCATACTTTCCTTCCTTCCACAACTCTCCTTGTAAGGCTGTTAATTTTTATACACATGGTTTCTGATTGTCCATACCTTGCACCCATTCCAGGGCAAAGTTCATTTTTCTATTCATTCTTTTCCCACGCTTCCCTTCACATCTCAATCCTATTATTATAGTAATGGACTTGTGCAGTATTTGTCCCCTTGTGACTGAGATAACTCACAGAATGTCTTCCAGACCATCCACGTTTTGTAGTGTTTTGAGTTTATTATTTTTCAGTGCTGCATAGTATTCTGTTGTGAGAATGTGCCATCATTTACGTATTCAGTTGTTGGTGGCACCTGAGAAGTTTCTGTCTTTTTGCTATTCTGAATAATGCTATGATAAACATGATAGTGCATGTATCTGTGTATGTCCCAGAAAAGAAAACTTCTGAGGAAATGGCAGACTTGCCTTCATAGTGATTGTACCGTTTTACATTTCCGCCAGCAGTGTATGAGTTTCAGTCTCTCCACATCTTCACCAGCATTTGTTGTTTGCTGCCCTGTTGAGTTTTGCTGTTGTTGCACTTTGTATTGTTTTATAACCTAGTTTTTTCATTCAGTGTATTGTGGCTATCTTTATATCAATAAAAATCACACTTAAATTCTTTTTAATGACTCTAATACTCTTTAATTTTGTTAACTTCTTGGTAAACATTTTAGTTCTTTTATATTCCCCTCTTCTACACATGGGATGGAATATTATGTAATATGCCAAGAACATGTTTAGTATAAAAATACACCCTTTTGTTCAATAGTTTTGGCAAACCAGAAATCCCAGAACATATACAGGATGAAACTTTGTAAATTTTGTTTAGGTCTCCACATCTGTAATTCTCCACATCTGTAATAGTCCATTCAAACTATCTCTCCTCTAAAATCTTAACTTCAGTTTCAAATCTTTATTCTGGTGCTGTCAAGCCTCCTCAATGCAGTAGCCTCTTTTTAAAATACTTAAATCATTATGCCTCTACTTTGATCCATAAATCTTTAGTGATGACTTCATGCAGTTCTCAAATTTACCTGTTACTACTCTCCAGTGTGACATGTCTTACCAAAATAGAGGCTTAGGTTCAATAATAAGCTGCTTGAACATCTTTGTACATGTACATTCAGTAATCATTTGACGAGTTCTCATTGGTCAATGGTATTGATGAGTGAATGAGAAGATCTTCTTCACACTTAAAAAAACTGAAGAATTCATCCTCTAAGTCTATAATGCCTCCTGAGGAGAAAGTGTTGCTATTCTGTACACAAATGTATTCTTAGATATATTTGACCATCAGGTGAAGCTGACAGTTACACAAAGATCTTAGATCGTTTTCTGCATACATGCATAGATAGTGATGAGGACTTGGGCTGCCTCTCATCAACTTCTATCAGACAGCCCCTTGTTTTCCTTAAGGTGGCAGAACTGCTGAAGCCATTGTAGACTCTGCTGTCAGTGCCGTGCGGCAGCTCGTCAAGGACCGTCTTGGAGGAAAGAGTGGATATAGTTCTGGAAAACAAGTAAGGCCATGTAACCTCAACTTTGATGTGTAATGCTTTTGAAGCCTGACTGTGGACTTCTGGTAGATTCCCTGCACCTCTCTTAAATCTTTTCAATTTGTCAACTTTGCATTTAAAAATAGTAGCAGTTGGATCACTAGCCCCACAAGGAATCAGAACAACCTTGGCTGCTCATTTGACCTCCTCTGAGTCAGTATCGCTGCAGCCAGTCTGTCCCAGGCACCTTACCACAACTACAGCTGTGAACCAGACAGGCCTTGACTAGATATCCTTGGACAAGGGGGCAGTAGAAGAGTTTTAACTGCAGAAAGCAAAAGAGCTCCAGGGCAGGGGAGTTGAATTGGAGGACAGAACAGAGATAAATTATAATCTCTTTTTTTACTCCTATCTGGCATTTGGCCCAAAATTCATAGAAAATCATTTATAAATGATTAGAGGAAAAGAGAAGGGAGAAAAAAGATCCTGTTCTGTGTATTGATATTTTAGATGCTCTACAACAACAGTAAAAAAATGTGAAGCTTAACCATTGTGCACATAGTATTATGAAACTCAATGCTGATGAGTTGGAACTGCTGGTAACTCATTGTCCTTTGGATCAGCAGTTCAGCATCATAAGCTGCCCACCAAAACGCACCCTCTTCTTCTGAAAGGGCATTAAATTGTTCCTATATCTTTACAATTCTAGGAAACCAGGAACATTGACCTCTTTCTGTAGACTGAAGAGCTCATCCAAAGATGCTCTTGCCTTTTACTTAGACTTTTAGTGAGCGTTTGTCTCTCTTTTTAAAAATAAAACAAACAAAACCCTGTGATTTTTTTTTTTTCCAGAAGGAGCACTCATGCAGGGAGAAAAGTACAATGAATGAATGGAAATCCAAAGTCTCTAAATTTTCATTAAAATTAATAATAATAAATTGTTTTTTTAAAAAGTTGTGCTAGTAATATATAGAACATTATGATGGGCTGCTGACCAAAAGATTGGCAGTTCAAATCCACCAGCTACTCCATCAGAGAAAGGCAATCTCCTATAATAGAGATTTCCAACCTGGAAAACCTGGGAAGAGGGTTACCAAGAGTCAGAATCGATTTGGCAGCAGTGGGGTTTGGGTTTGGGTGGCTTTTAGACCAAGCAGCAGAAAGCAGTATAGAGGGGAATTAATGTTATTTTTAGAATATTTTTTTTTTATGTTGTTGCTAGAGATTATTTATGGCAAGATAGTGATTGTCGTTACATATTACATCTCGTGATAAAGCTGCAACTATACTTTTAAAGCTGTATCTATACTTTGACCTGAAGGAAAATGGTATTTATTTCTTTGAGTCACAAATAACAGGTGGCTCTCATGTTTTAAGTATTGGTCTTGACTGAAAGTAAATTTTCTACCATGTAAAAATATTCACCAACGTCTTCGATTTGAATAAAATACATTTAACTTGAAGAAAAAATTTAAATCTTATTTGTGCTATCAGGGAGGACTGATGTCTTAAGTGTATGACATAAACAAACAGCATCCTTTTGGGCCAAGTTCTAATTTAAGGTTTCGAACATATATTTAAATGACAGGGCAGAAGTGAGAGTTCAAGTAAGAAAGACGTGATTGAACTGACCGATGACACCTTTGATAAGAATGTCCTTGATAGTGATGATGTTTGGATGGTTGAGTTTTATGCTCCTTGGTGTGGACATTGCAAAAAGTAAGTGGTGGGTAATAAGCCTTTTTTGTTTTGTTTTGTTTTGTTTTTTTTAATCACATAAATTTTAATGCATGCTTTTGGTTCTCTTTGAAAGACTTGAACTAAATAATGAGTAGCATCAAAGATTGCCTCCAGAAAAACCAACAGGTTTAGCATTAGTGCCTAGAATTCTGTCAGACTGAAAAATTTACGAGAGTAGTATCTTGATTTGAAGGATGGAATAAAAGGTTGGAAAGTATATGTGAAGACTAGTATCTTAAGTGTGTAAAGCCACACACAGAATGGCTTCCAGGTCTTCTTTTCTAGATTAGACAGAAAGCGACACAAATTAGTTAAAACATATTTGTATGGAATTAAAATACACTTGTAAAATACAAACCTTCAGATTTCTGAGTAGGATAGAGGTCTAGGCATGTGGCAGTTCAGAACCTCTACAATGAAGACAAAGATAACAGCAGATATGGATAATGATTCTGAAACCCTGAGTTTAAAAAGAAAAGACAAAGTAGTACTTCAGACTCCAAATAAAGGAAGAAGCTGAATGAAATAATTGAATATGGAAAACAGATGGAACACATAAATTGTCAAGCATAGCCATGTGAACAGCTTCTGCTTATCCTGGGAACCTGAACTGTGAGGGTAACCTACCAGCGGCTAGCTGACTACAGGATAGGACAGTCTCCCCTCTTGCTCCCTCCCTCCTTTACCTCCTTAGAAATCAGGATGCAGGTGAGAACTTTCCCCATCACCACTATGACCCACCAGGTGACTGGCATTTCCCTCCGCAGCTCTGCCTGAGTCCAGGTCTGCACCATTGTATCTAGAACCTGGAGTGTTCACAGCTCTACACCCACAGACTGCCGTGTCTGGCCTGCAGTTAGCTCTTGGATTACCTCTCACCGGGAACACTGGCCTGCCATAAGTTACAGTCACCTTGGTACAGTCCACCCTCCATGGGGTTTGTCATCCTGGACATTTCAGGTTGGCAATGACCAGCACTTCATGTTAGCCATTTCTGATTGGGTACCCTGCTGCTCCCATTCCCTAGACTGGCAGAGACTCCACTAAGAGACACAGAGGACACAGAGACTCCTAAGTAGGTGAACTGGTGTAGGCTCATTAGAAGCTAGCAGAAACTATCTCAGGCCATCTCTCCAATGAGCAAAACTTCTAACTGGCTGGGGACTCGAGCTCGAGCATTGCATTGACAGATACACTGTCTGAGGCAATACGTCTTGCTTCCCCCACCACAGCAGTTCAAATTCAAGTGCTGATCAAGTGCCATGTCTACCTTCCCAACTTTTTCTCTTTCATGCCTTATTTCCCAGGGCTTTTTGATCTTTAGCTGGCTTGTTTGTTTTCTGTTTCACCCTTTTGCTTGTTCTCTCCTACATACATTTTTAAAAAAACATGTCTTCTACCTTCTTTTCTCGCTGCATTTTTCTTTCCTGTCCACTGCTGATCTCTTTCCCCCTCCCCCTCTTTCTTTGCCTTTCTGTCTAATTCTCCTTCATTTTGTACCTCTTGCTGTTTTGGTTTTTCTGTTTTCTTTTACCATGCAGTCTTGGTTTTGGATGTTTTCCTTTAGTAGTTTTTTGTTTGTTTTCCTTTTCCTTTGTCTCATCTGACAACAGACAGCAATAGTACCCCCCTACACAAACACCTCCTTCCTTCAGGCAAGACTGAGCACTAACTCCTACTCAGCCTGACCAAATGAACCACTATAACCAGCACCAGCCCATCTTTCCTTCAGCTGCTCTGTACAAACATCACAGAGAACTACACATACCCCCAACTATCTATGCCTACCCATCAGAAGATAGGAGGTGAAACACTAAGAATTATAGGACTAGCAAATGATACAACACATCTACATCAGTCAAGCAAGTATATAAAACAAAATGATGCAAAGATGACACCACTTACAGTGGCTTGGAGAAGCAGAAAACTCTAAACCAGTCAAAAAACCAGGACAAGATGGAACAAAACAGTGATCAAAATACAGTGCCAGAAAATCTGAGTGAGAAGTCCCACTGAAGCTTCCTGAAAAGGGATTTTTTATTTTTTTAAGCTGGCATAAAAAAAGAGAATCAAAAGAATGATAGTTCAATGGATTTAGAAAAGTTCAAGAAAAATAAGAAAACGGGGGGGAAAAATAAGACCAAAGAGAAAGATAAATACTAAATGAAAAACAATACAAACACAGCAAATTGAAATTTAGAGAACTAAGACTAAAGTTCCAGAATTGGATAACACACTTTAAGGATGAAAGAGAAGACCTCGTGAGATGAGGACAAAACCTTTAATACTAATACAGTAGAGGAATAATCAGAAAAAGAAAGATACTGTGAAACTCCTTTGGAACCGTGTCAAGAGGAGTAACTTATTTATGAGTAAAATTTCTAAATAGGAAGAGAAAAAGTATAGAGGAAATAGTTGAAGGTTTGCTGGAATAAAGCTTGTCAAATATGAGAAAGGAAAAGATAATTATTTAAGATATTTAATGAACCTCAAACAGGATAGATCTCAAAAGAGCCAAATATGACACAAGAAGCTGAAATGAACGTGATGATGACATTATTCAGAAATTCACCCAGATATAGAAATAAATAGGGTGTAAGGAACATACGGCACTAAAAATAGGGATCCAGAGATACCAGAAACCATGGTACAGTCACACAGTGGATTATTATGCGTCACTGAAAATGAGCAAGAATTTGTGAAAACTGTAAGTGGATGATTCTAGAACAGATTAAGGTGAGTGACATAAATCAGTCACAAAAGGACACATGTATAAAAACACTTTTTATAAAAAGCTGAGGAAATGTTTATACACAGAATCTATCCTGGCATATTTCTAACAGCAAAAACTAAGCTGGGTAGAGGGAAAAGCATTACATAATAAGGGATTGTTTCACCCAAATTTTAAAAATAAAATAAAATGCGAATCTCTTCTGTAGCCTAGAACCCGAATGGGCTGCTGCAGCTACAGAGGTCAAAGAGCAAACAAAAGGAAAAGTGAAACTAGCAGCTGTAGATGCCACTGCCAATCAGCTTCTGTCCCAGCGGTATGGAGTGAGTATATTTAGAAGATTCATTCCTTTGTAAAATAGACCATATCTTTAAGTGTGACTTCCTTTTGTTCTCCAGGTCTTTCTGTGAGACAGGAGGGAGATTGTTCCACTGTCTTGTAAATTAAAGAGCTAAGAATTTATCTTAAATAATTTTGTTAAAACAGTTGAGTCTGGCCATCTGTGCTATGTTAGTTTTGATTTTGGTTTCTAACGTCACATCTTTCACTGTATACTAAAACAACTCATTCTGTCCAAGTTTTTATAAGCTTCTTATAATGATTTTTGAAAGTAGGCCCATGTGTTTTAGATATATTGTCTTAATTGAAGTTTAATAAGATTTAACTATACGTCTTTGTTTATTAAAGGCTCTGTGATGGGCACTACTTCTGTCTTATCCTTTGACACTGATATTCTGTAGGATATTGTTAAGTTTATCTTTAACTTGGCTTTAGGAACAGTAACGGTCATGTTGTCTTTAAGTTTTCATTTTATTTTATATTCTAATGTGTGTATTTATTTAATAGATTAGAGGATTTCCAACAATCAAGATCTTTCAGAAAGGCGAGTCTCCTGTGGATTATGATGGTGGTCGGACAAAATCCAACATAGTTTCACGAGCCTTAGATTTGTTTTCTGATAATGCCCCACCTCCTGAGCTGCTTGAGGTAAACCATTTGAAGTACAAAAGCTTTGCCAGTCTAATGGAGAATTTTTAAATGTCTAACTTTCAAATGAACATAAAAGTATCTTATAAACTGGTTCTTTACATAACTTTCAGCACTGAAATAATCCGATGGTGAGCAAGAAATGTATCTGTTACTGTTTAGTTACTGTTTGCCAACTGTTAGAATTCCTAGTGATCCCAAGTATAACAGAACAAAACACTGCTTTGTCCTGTGGCATCCTCCCAATCTTTGCTGTTTGAGCCCATTGTTAGAGCCACTGTAACAGCCTTTGTTGCCAACACTCTTCCTTGACTTTGCTGACTCTCTACTTGACCAAGCATGATCCCCTCCAGGAAACAGGTCTTCCTGATAACATTCCCAAAGTGTGTGTCATTGCCTCTAGGGCACATGCTCATCATCCTTCAAGACAAAGTTGTTCATCTTCTGAGACAGCGAGTATATTGAATATTCTTCACCAGAACTATATACTTCAGTGAATGTCAAGTTTTCTTCAATCTTCCTTATTCACATTAGCCATATAAAGTAATTAAAAATACTGTGCATGGTTTGAATCAGGCACACTAATCTGCCCAGTGCAATACCTCCTTTAATTACTAGACTGCTACTTCCATCTGCATTAATTGTGTAGCCAAGTAAAAGGAAATCCTTTACAACTTTAATATTTTCTCTACTTAGGATGCTCTTAAGTTCTGGTGTTCTAATAATAAGGAGTTGTGCTATCAACCCAAAGACACCTAATCCACTCCGTGGGAGAAAAACGTGAAATCTGGGTGATTTACTGCCTCTGAAAATCCTCTAAGTGTGTTAGCTATGACTCCATTCCAACTTGACATTATATAACAATAACATGAAGATTTTGTTTATTGGTCTAATGGTGAGGAATAGAGATGTAATCCATTCTGAAGGCTATACTCTTTAATCTTATTAAGTGCTTCAGGTTCTCTTGGCTGTCAGCAGTGTTGCTTCATCTACATAATGCAGTTGATTGACGAATCTTCTTCCATTCCGGGTGCCACATTCTTCCTGAACTGTTTGCTCAGCATACAGATGGATTAAGTGTGGAGAAAAGATGCATGTAGCCATGACACATGTTTTCTAATTTTAAACTATGCACTGCTCCCTTACTCTGTTCAGACCATAGACTCTTGGTCTAGATTTTGCATAAACACAGTTAGGTGTTCTGGAATTCCTGTTCTTCTAATGACATTCATAATTTATGATTCACATAATTTCTTTGTAGAGTTAATAAAACACACTTTATGTGATTTTCACCTTTCAGTCAAGACCCACCTGAAATTATCAGTGATATTTTTTTTCCACATCCATTTCGGAATCTGCCTTGAATTTCTCGCAGTTCCCTCTCAGCGTATTGCTGCAACTGTTTTGAAATGATCACCAGCCCAATTTTACTTCAGTGTGGTGTTAATTGTTTGGTAATTTCTGCATTCATTTAGGTCACCTTTTTGAATAGACAAAACTATGGATCCCTTTCAATTTGTTAGCTGGGTAGCTGTCTTCTGAAATTTCTGGCATTAGCTAGTCCAGTGCATCTCCAGTGCTTCATTCATTTGTTGAAACATCTTAGTCGGTATTCATTCCATAAATTTTGAGTCCCTATTTTTCACCAGTAACTCCAGTGCAGCTTAACGTCTTTTAATATCTTCAGTTCTTGATTGTATCTTGTCTCCTGGAATGGTTACATGTTCTCCCGTTTCTTTGTGGGATAGTGACTCTGTATGTATTCCTTCCATTTTCTTTCCAACATCTCCTGTATCATTCAGCATTTTACCCATTGAATCCTTCAGTCTTAACAACTTGAGGCCTAAAATTGTTGAGTTCTAACAATTTTAGAAATGCTGAGTGTGTTAATCACTTTTGGTTTTCTAACTAAGCCTTTTTCTTGGAGTATTACATTTCATTGTAATCTTGTGTCTTCTCAATCTACAGTTTGAATCTCCTGTTCAGATGTTTACTTCATCATGTACTGGATGAAGCTTTTTAAAAATAGAGTGAATGTATTTTGATTTATCATTCTCAAAATATTAATGAGTATTTATTGTGCCACTAGCCATGTAATTATTCTGCTGCTTTCAAGTAAACTTTGCTTATTAACAAGAAAAATATGTTAGATCCCTTTCTTACATATGAGGCAAAGAACATTTGTGTAAGTAATTTCCTTAAACTCATATAAATACTAAATGACAGCCAGTTTTAGGAGCCCAAGCACTTTCAGTGATTATGTGTATGTGCTGTATAGCACATAATCACTTCAGTGATTAGAGGAAAATTAATTATCTAAATTGGACACACAAAAATCAAGATTAGCAAAGACCGTTTCCTGTAGGATATTGGGCAGGTCCACCTTTTTCTTTTTGCATCTGTACTTCTGACACCAATATTTCTCCCTTGACGCTCTCTCCTTCTCTGCTGGGCTCCATAATCCATATATTGGCCACAGAACCACAGATCATACCCAAAGTGTCAAGGTGTAGTAAAGTAACTGACTACAGCCCAGGCTTGGGCTCAGAATAAGTAATAAGAAAAAGTAGGAATCAGCATCAAGAAGTAGATAGGCAAAGTCTTGGAAGGGTGCATGAAGTGGACACCATAGCTATCTCTTCTTCAACACAAGACCGCTCTGACCAGTGTAGTTCTTAGAGTAAAAAGGCTTATGAGTATTTAAAGACTGTTCTCAGCCAGTGCCTGGCTTCTCTCAATATTGTATATCTCAATCTTCATCATTCGAAAGACTGTCTTTCTCAGCAGGCCAGTGTTCAACCAGTTCTCAGTTACCCATGAGCTTTCAAGCAACTTAATAATTCTTTTTTTTTTAGCCAGAAGAGACCTCTTCCAAAAGTAGCAACTTTCTGGGGTGGGAAGCAACCTGAGGAGTCTCTTATTTGCTTCTCTAGAGAGAGGGCAAAGTTAATACCTCATTAGGAAAATATCCCAAGTCATTTCCATTAATCAAAAGACTACATAAAGTAGTTCATTGAGTAAGGCAAATACTTCACCAACAACAACACAGATAGTTATCGCAGAAATACATAGCAAATCCTCAGCAGAAGCCTGGAGTGTTCAGTGAAATTGCCATAATGATATAAACATATCTTATAGAGGATTTTTTTTTTTTTTTGCTTCCTTAATGCATACAAAAGTATTCTTTGGGAAAAGCCTATCCTTTTTTAGTGAAAATTACATTGATAAGTTTTTGTTTGGATATTATGGTCTGTACCTTTAAATGTAGACTGCTAAGAGAACAGGTCTGTCCTGAAGAGGGTGAAATGAGGCTGCTCCTTGGAGGCAAGGATTTTGAAGCTCCAGCTCACATACTTTGGGCATGTTGCTGGGAGGGACCAGTCCTTGGAGTAGGGCATCATATTTGGAAAGGGTGGAGGAACAGAGTAAGACCCTGGATGAGATGGATTGACTAAATGACTGGGGTAATGGTGGTAGATGTGTTGGAGACAATGAAATTGGCTCTCCCAGGGCAGGGTTTAGAGCTGGTAGACATAGAGTCGCTATGAGTCAATGACTCGATGGCACGTAACAGCAGCCCTTAAATGATGCTTAAAACAATACCTTGTATTCTGGGTTTCCACAGATAATTAATGAAGACATTGCCAAGAAGACATGTGAAGACCACCAGCTCTGTGTAGTGGCTGTGTTGCCCCATATTCTTGACACTGGTATGATTAACGGACACACCTTTTCCATTTGTTCTATAGCCATGTATTCTCAAAGCTTCCTAAATGTATAGGTTGATTGTATTGACAGCTTTATGTTAACATTTAAGAATTTGTGTCTGTTTAAATCAGGAGCTGCAGGCCGAAATTCTTATTTGGATGTTCTTCTGAAGTTGGCAGACAAATACAAAAAGAAAATGTGGGGGTAAGTTACATCACTAAACCAGGTGTGCGCGCGTGCGCGCTTGTGCACACTCATTCAGAATGAAGGCTTATAAAGCAGTTGGTTTTCTCTTTAGTTAGTCTTGTGATTCTCTTTCATCTTTCTATCCTCTTTCCCTTCTTGCCTTCTGAGCTTTCTCCCTCAGAAAAAATACAGCCCTTTTTATCTTATGTGATTGGTTGTTCTAAAGAGCACGTTACATTAGTTCCCTGGTAGGATTGGTGGTAAGCACGGCTGTTATTTGGAGTGAGTTGGGTTCATGGTTCTACCAGCCTCTGTTAAGCCAGCACTCCTGGTCATTTTTTAAAATTTTGAGTTTTTCCCACATTTTTCTCCCATCCTGACCAGTACCCTGTACTGTGATCCCTTTCAGTGCAGTCAGGAGTGGTCGGTAGCCAGGCATCATCTAGTTCTTGTCTCAGGGTCAGGGAAAGTTCATGTGGTCTGTTAGTTCTTTGGATTAATTGTTTGCATGTATCGTTCACTTTATTCACTCTTCTTGGTTCTCTTAAATGATCCTACTGCTACAGTCCCAACTCAGCAAAGTCAGATGTGGAACACTTTTTGTGGGTTAAACTATGCTAATAGACCTTGATAGCCCCTAAAGGTACGGTCCCAAGGCCTTAGGACTAACTCATTCAGAGCATTAGGTTATGATTAGAAATGTATATAACTTTGTCTCTATCATACACAGATACATTTATAGCACAAAATGATAATGCATACAAAATGCAAACCTCTGTAGGTCATGAGTGAGGCCCCTGTCTCCTGTCTGTACCTGTTCATTATGCTTATATCTCCCTATTTATTCATTTGTGGTTTTGGTGTTTTGGGGGTTTTTTTAAGAGAGAATTTTTTTTCTCTACTAGTTTACAAAATTCAAATGCAAATTCAAACAAATTCTTTCAATTTCCCTCACAACCCCCATCAAATTGTACAACCCAATGATTAACCCCCCACACACACACACACACACACCTCCCCCCCGCCAGACTCCCACCTCCTGCACATCCTCATCCCTCTTCTTCCACCCTCTTCCAACCCTCTTGGATCCTTATACTCAATCTACAATAATGGTTTTATACAATATTTATCCTCTTGGAACTGAGTTCACTCAGCATAATGCTCTCCAGTCCCTCCCAAGTTAGGTAATAATTTATAAAGTTATTGCTCCTGTGTGTTGCATAGTATTCCTTTGTGTGATTGTACCATAATTTCTCAATCCATTCATTTGTGGTCGGACATTTGAGCTATTTCCATGTTCTTTCTCAGCATAAAGTTATCTTCACATCCAGTAGATTTATTTTAGGGAGGATGTAGAAGAATCCTTCTGTTGCTACAAACAACAGACTTGGAGTTATACAATGTTTAATGCAGAGTAGCCTTTACATAGTTAGGGAAAAATTGTTAAGTTACCAGAAAAGTATGTAAATCCCAGGAACTATATGTAATTAAGGTAAATGATGACTTCATTATATAAAGCTTTTAATGGTTATAGTTTAAGGATTTATCAAGTACTCCTTTGTCTAACCACAGTACCATTTTCCTCATAAAAATATTTTAAACTTCTATAATTTAAGTAGTATTATAGCTGACTTCTGTAAAAACCCTGAAGACTTCTAAAGTGTGAACACCAGATCTTGGCAAACTTTTAAACAAAGTTCCTTTTCCTCAGTGTCATGGAATTGTTTTTCTTAAGTACATGGAGTCCACAGCTTTCTCTCCCAGTGATCTCTTCCTTCTTCATTAGGTAAACCAGTGTTTATTACATGCCCAGAAAATGCTGCATACTAAAATTATTTATTCTTCAATATTTTAAAAGTTAGTCTTGGTGGAACATTTTTATAGTATTGCTTAGTGGACAAGTGGGGTTGGGAAAAATTATCTCATAAATAGAACAAAACTGTCTTAGAGATAATCCAGCTCTTTCTGGATTTAGGGAAACAGAAGAGGAAAAACACTATTTTATTCCTTAGTTAAAATCTATTAGATTCTAACTAATCTGAGATCTTTGCCCTAAAATCGAGTTTGCTTTTGTAGGTGGCTGTGGGCGGAAGCTGGAGCCCAGAATGAACTTGAGAGTGCGCTGGGAATTGGGGGGTTCGGATACCCTGCCATGGCCGCCATTAATGCTCGTAAGATGAAATTTGCTCTTCTCAAAGGATCTTTCAGTGAGCAGGGAATTAATGAGTTTCTCAGGTAATTTCTTTGATTTTCCTTCCCCACTACCCCGTTTTTTAATTAGTGGGTAAAGGGGGTGTTTTTTTGGTTTGTGGTTTTTGTTTTGTTTTTTGTTTTTGTCTGTCTGGTCTTGCTACAGTTTTTGATTTGACACTCAGTTTATGTAAACCAGGCAATAAATATAACTATTCTGCATTTGAAAATCTAGAGAATTTGGTAATTCATTTACCAGCTGCTTTATGAAAGTTATTCCTCATGCAAAGGTAGCTTAGAGAGCTATTATGATGCATTGTTGTTGCTGCTGTGGTTGTGTACTGTTAAGGCAGAACCAACTCATAGCTGATCCTCCCACAGTTTTTCAGAGGCAGTAAATTGCATGGTAGGAGATTGCCCATCCTTCTCCCTCAGAGCAGCTGGTGGATTTAGACTGTATCCAAGCCACCAGAGCTCCCTCCTAAACACATACATACATGGAACTTAACACAACTGAAACTTAGTGACTAGTACTAATGATGTTTTGGTCCAAGTTCGAACACTTCCTCTGCCAGCCTTACTAGTTCTTATTAATAGAAGTTTGGAAACTGTGTTTTGTAGCTTGAAGCGGATGGCTCCTGAAATGAGAGTTTTGCTACCTGTAATCTAACTTTGAAGGAGCTCTGGTAGCATGATGGGTAAGCATTTGGCTGCTAACTGAAAGGTTATTGATTTGAAACCACCAGCCTCACAGCAGGAAAAAGATGTACCATTGGAAACTCTGTAGGGCAACTGTTTTCTGCCCTGTAAGGTTGTTTTGAGTCATAATTGATGAGATAGTAACAGGTTGATTTAAGTTGACCTTGAGCAATATAGATTGAGTGGGTAACCTCTTAAGTCTCTGCCTGCCTGTTCGTCTTAACTTGGCAAGGATGGCAAAGCTTCATTTCACTTACTAGAGCATGTTAGGAGGAGGTATTACTTGGAAAGGTAAGTGAGGAGGACCCTCAACAAGGTCTACTGCCAAGATGACTGTAGCAATAGACTCGAGGATGGCAGAGATGATGAGGATGACATAGGCTAGGACAAGGTTCAGATCTGTTGTTCATAGGGGCATCTAGGAGCCAGCCTCTTCTCCAGGGTGTGTAACTGCTTTAACCTGCCAGCTGTTTGGCTTTGACTTAGATGACATTTCTGCACCACAGTTGTTGTCAAAAACGGATAGTAACAACATTTCTTTATAGAATTGGAGAATTAAATCACTTGAGAAAAGCTTACCTGAATCAGAATATAAACCTAAATGATAGCTGTTTTAAAGACAGTATGAGATGTACCATGGCCTAGTGGTAAGCTTTGCTGCAATCCAAAAGGCATGCAGTTCAAATCCACCAGCTGCTCTGCAGAAGGATGGGCAATCTCCATAGTGATTAGCTGCCTCTGAAAACCCACTGGAGTGTCAGTTAAGGATCAGTTCCAACTCAACAGCACACAGGGGCCACCATGATTTATAATAATTTAGGGGAAGGAGCTATGACATTGAAAATACACCTCAGCTATAAACTCCTTCATCTTATTTGGAATCTATAAAATATATTCAGTTGTAAGTTTTTCAGGTGTCTCTTTAGTTTGGAAATAATAAAAGTCAAAAGTAGTAAGATGTTTTCTGTTTATTCAGTGATGTATATTTTTAAGCTGTTCAGATCTTTTGTTCATATGGTCGCCATGAGTCATACTTGACTCTATGACACCTAACAACCACTGCCACCACAGTATGATTATTGTGGTTTTAAAAATAAGTGATTGGTAACATTTCTTCTGACTTCTTACATCTCCTATTTTTTAGGGTTGTTTTTACTTACTGCTCTAATGGCACTTTATGTTGCATATTTGCTCAATGAGATGTTTTTTATAAAGGGTACTACTTAAGTTTGTAATTATCCTAGAATTCTATTTTTTCTTAGTAAATTCTGAGTATTTCAAATTGGATACAGACAGATCTTTTGTCATTTGGGGTTTTTTGTTTGTTTTGGGTTTGTGTTTTGTGGGGTTTTATATTTGGGGTTGGTTGTTTTTTTTTTTTTCTGATCATTTCTTATTTTGCCCTTTGCTAACTGGTAAAGTAGAAGCTGATTTTTTTTTCTGTAGTCTCTGATGTAAGTTTCTTATTTCATTAGTTTTCCCTGGTGATAACTAGAATAGATGATAGTTGAAAGGCTTAGATATGGATCAGCCTTCAGGGCACAGATAATCAGCTGTTGTTCTCCCTGTTGGCTATAGAGATCTGAGAAACCTAGGTCTTTGCAAATCAGTGGCTTTCTGAGCACAGGTAACATGAATCCCAAATGTTGACTTCAGGATGCCCAGGAAGTGGATCATGACTCCCAGCCAGTTTACACTAATTCAGTCATGGCTGACTGCTTGCACTGTGGAGAGCCTTGCTTGCTCAACAGCACCATGGGCTGCCATCTTTGAGCTAAGCACATTGGTTTTTCATTCAACCGTCCAAGAGATTTGCTACATGGACACTGCCTTTGTTTTCTAAGAGAGAAATTAAATTTCTATCAAGATTTCAATCCATTATATTTACTATTCCAGTAAGCATTCAAATTCATGCACATTTTAAAATTTCATGTCATTTACATGTTCTTTTGTCAACTAAACTGGGCCAACTTCTTTGAAGCACTGAGACTTTGAAGCACTGGCCTTATCTTCAAGGAATGAATTGGTTTCTGATAAAATTTCCTAGTACATAAAATTACTCTCTATTGAGAATTTATTTACATAAATTTAACTGGAACACCCCTTGGTTACCTGACGTTTTCATCTGCCTTGCTCCCTTCTGTGTCCACAAGGGTCTTCTATCTTGTACTTTTTTCATTTGATTACTGCCTCTTCCCCACAGTTCTTGAGTTCTACAAGAGTGCATCTGTTTTATGGAAAACTTTGCCTCTAGTCACTGGTATACCCAACTGCATTCAAATGGATTCCAACACATAGTGATCTCTCAGGTTTCTAAACCTGTAAGTCTGTACAGGAGAGGACTACTGGGATTAGCCCAACAGATAAAGTATTATGTCTTCAGAACTCCCTAGTCACTAATAACAAGTTTGGGAAATAAATAATGATCCCTGTGGTAAAAACTTTATGAATGAATGATATAAGAATTACCATGGACTGGTAGGGGGCTTCCTGGGGTAATGCATATGGCACATTGACATGAAGATGTATCTATAAAATATACTTACCATCCCCACCACAAATTTAAAAAAGAAAATTACTTTTTCTTTCGTCAGCATTTAATTCCAATGTTGAAATATTAATCCATTTATGAGAATAATAGGTTACAAAGAGCTTAAGCCTTTGGACTCATTTGGAATTACAGACTCCAACTCCAGTTTTAAGTTTTGTACTTTCCTTTTTTTCTCCCCTGAATTATTTTTTTATTATTATTTTAATGAAAGTTTACAGAGACTTATGGTTTCCATTCATTCATTGTTGCATTTTTCTCCCTGCCC